CCAGCCTTCTGGTTAGCAGTCAAGTGCCTTAGCCACTATGCTACCAGAGTATCATTCTTATTTATACTTAATCAGGAATTAAAGAGCTATAGGAAACCTGAAACAAAAACCAACCTGCAGACCTTTGCCATAACATACACTCTTATTTTATAGATTTTTAGAAGTAGCAATCTCCACCTGAAAAACTTCCAAGTTTATTCATGCAGAGATTTTGGAATTGACATATTGGAAAGTGATGCAAACACTTCAGTTACTGACAGCTTATTACTTGGTCATTTTGGCCACAAGGTAAGTAAGTGCTTTAGTGTGGTTGTTTTAGGTTGTTCATCAAAACAGAATTATATGTATTGGGCTCCCTGGTGACTCAGGATATGTAATTTTAATACCATTTTTCAGCAAATCTTGTTATTTAATTGGTAAAAGTTAGAGGATTTTTTATTTCTAACAGTGGTGATATTGATAATGAAATTCAAATGCACACATGATTTTAATGTTATATATTCACATAAACCATGAAAGTTATAAGTTATTTGCTTGTAATTTAGATATCTCTGTATAAATTCAATAATAAATCTAATTATTTAGGTTTCTTTTCTCTAACCTCACAGGGTTATGGAGCAGCATGATTCTGTGTCATTTCTTTGTTCTGCATCAAAACTTTGTTCATGGGTACATTTTCCTATGTAGGGTACTCTCCAGAAGTTCCTGTCCCAGTCACTATTGAGTCCACTCTTTGAGTGTATGTCGGAGGAGAACTGTGCTCCATAGGGATTTCAGTGGCTGATTTCTCAGAAGTATATCTCAAGATCTTCCCAGGTGCCTCTTGACTTAGACCCTAGACCTCCCATCTTTTGGTTAGCAGCTGAGCATTTTAACAATTTACAGCACCCAAACAAACAAAAAAAACCTTAGGATTTGCTATAATGTACTAGGATTTCTTATATAGTTCCTAATGCTGTCTAAATGTCTATTTCTACATTATAAAAGTCAGACTATAGATGACTCAGTCATTGCGTAGCCCAAGTACCAAAATGTAGACTAGATAGAGCATTTCCCAGATGAGAAGTACTAGCTCTCTTTTAGGGAAACTGTGGCTGCCTTTGCTCTTTGTAGGATTCCAAGTTAGAGTAGGCCCCCTACATTCTTGTTTGTAAAAGAGTTACATAATGTGCATGTTACTAACAGATTGTCATAAACATCACATATGGAAGAAGACACCTATAGTACTCCTTAGAACCAAAGAAGGATCATTCTTTTAGTTTCTGAATGCTTTTCCCAATTGAAGTGATAATTATTGTCATTGGTACTTTCCCTTGGAGATTGTTTACTAGCCATAAAACAAAACTCACTGCCACTGAGTTGATTCTAACTCATAGTGACCCCATTTGGGTTTCCAAGGCAGTAATTTTTTTTTTTTTTAATTTAATTG